ACCATCCCAACATTCATAAATCCATTTACATAGATGAAACCGTTTACATAGAACCTTGAATTGCCAACAAGAGATACGAAATTTATCCTAACGGTATTATCCTTTGGAAGAATGTTTATAGACAGTAATTTCATAATGCACTTGAGACTACTATCTTACGTCTTAAAGTAGGCAAGTAGGGATATTCACTATTCATGAACAATAGTAACAAAGCAAATACAAGGCTGGCCATAAAACAAACAAAAAATTGAACGAAAAACATAATTAAGTACTTCCAGCAGAGGAACGGTTTGAAATCACAAAAATTTTATTAAAAATAGATAGTATAATCAAAATAAACGAAATTGAAAACGCACCGAATACAGAACAATGCATAAAACAAAAGAATATGAATTCTGTCCCCCAACTCACACGAAATGTACGTAAAAGAAACATTGCGCACGTCCGTATTGTGAATATTGTTTCCGACCCTCCTGTCCCGGCTAATTTAATTCCTTCCCTGTGACCTCAACGTACCTATGTACCAGACAATTTTCACAATATAATTTTCCCTCGAATGTTCGCATCTCCCCTACATCAGATTAGATGACCAGCGAATAAATCTTTATCGTGTTCTCGAATTGAAGGCAGTATTTTACCTTATGGTTTTCGCATTAAATATTTTACAAGACACCATCTTCCACTCTTGCAATCGTTCTTTACGCTTTGTCAGCGTTGAGTTGCTTTGTATCTAGCTATTCTCTATCTGCATCTATCTATATATAAGTAATTTTATACTAAAATATAGATAGCGTTTTCGATGACAGTTCAGGTTATTTTTATTTCTTCATGACTGTCGGTAAAATAGAACTCAAATCTAAGAACTCTATTTTGATATACAGGGTCATCAAAAACGAGGCCAACGTAGCGTTCGAACTACCAACCAATTGCTACATATAGCTGCAGTACTCATGCGACTAAAAAAAAATTGTGATTCTATGACGTGGTAAATTCACGCTGGGATCCAATGAATATTTATTATAGGATATATAAGATTTATCGTGTTCTAACATGGCTAATGTGGTGGTAGATTATCTATCTAGGGTCTCCAGTAATTGCCTTAATTTTATTATGTAAAACAATAAAAGATACATTCATTCGGATTAATTCTTTATCTGACGTATCACGACAGTGCTAGTCGTCATTTAATTAGGAGGAGATCTGAACGTCGTTTGTTTTTAATACTCATAACATTAGCATTTTGAAGAAATAGGTGTTTATAATTCGATTGAAATGAAGGAGTTTGTGACATAACAAGCACAGCCAATTATACACAGAAAGTTCTGGCGCGACATTTGTTCCGGACAAGAAAAACAATTTGAATTTCAAATTAAAAACAACTCGAGGAAAACAAGAAGTTATTGTCATTATAAACACATCTTGAGAAAATATAAATTATTTACCATACATACAGAGTGATGACACTCATACATTTATTTAAATCTATTTCTGCAATATATTAGAGATACTTAGTTGAATATATACAGAGCTAATTAGATACATAAAAAACATATTGCATATTGTCTGTAAATAAGCTCTTAATAAAAGTCTTAATGAATCGAACTTATGCCATTCAAAGGTAACAACATAATATATCCCACTTATAAAAAGATATGAGAACTTTAGAAGCGCCTAATATGACGAGTTATTAATTTATTTTAAATAATAATAGAAACTCCTCATATTTATTTATGGACAAAGACAAATGACAAGATCGGAAGACGGATGACAATAAGTACCCAATACAATTATAAGATTTTCTTTTAATACGCAATGGAACTTTAAAATGAGGACATTGATCAATTATGAGATTAAATAAAATGCGACACGAAATCCAAGACGTGATTAGAAAAAATTAAATCTTTGTGACATTTATTCAAAACTAGCAAACCCGGCGAACTCCGTTTCGCCACCAGATGGCTTCGTTTTATGTAACATTTCGTTTGGTGATTAAAAGATGAAGAATTTTTTTTTGTTTGTTTTATATTTGAAAAGGAAAAAAAAATCATTTCACAACAGTAATGAATTCATTTCGATTACAAAAATGAAGTGTTATTTAATTGAACTTCTCTAAGTAAATGAAAGTGAATCCAAAGTAAATACTGAATCGAAGCGTTATACGTGTCCGCAAATTATCCGTTTCATTGAAGTGCTCTTTGGTAAACCACATTTTTTGTTTTTTGTTCTGACGTTAACACAAACAAAGCGGATGGTTTCCCAACTGGTGAACACGCAACGTATAACTGCCCATGTGAAAAACAATGATTTTCTAAATTTATCCCGCAAACACTAAGCGATTGGCCTTGCGACTTGTTAATTGTCATTGCGAACGCATGGCGAACTGGAAATTGCAATCGTTTGAAGTCAAACGGAAGATCAGTCGGATACATTGGTATTCGAGGAATACATATATTTTCACCTGCGTACTTTCCGTTAATAATGGTTGCCTCAATCAAATTCGGCATAAGTCTTTTTACCGAAAGTCGAGTACCGTTGCAAAGTCGCCCTGGATTCAAATTACGCAATATCATAATAACTGTACCANGGCTGGGCGTCCTTGGGGTGAGCCGCGCCGTCTGGTTGTAGTGTTGACCGCGGTAACCCCCCTACCTCATCCGGGTTCTGACCTCGGAGAGGATCGGACGTCGGGTGTAAGAGTGCAGGGGAGTCGTTTAGTGGGTGGGTCCTAAAATCCTTGGGCCCGCGATCTGCTCTCAACACCTGCAGATCGTTGAGTCTCACATGCCCCGTATGCGCGGGGACCTCGTAGGAGGTTCGGCCCCCGGCCCGGAAAAAAAAAAAAAAAAAGAGACTCGCTCGCCACCTTTTGCTTATAGTAAAATGTCATCAAATATTTTCAGGCAAACGCTTCTACGTACATAAGTTCCAACGCGAACTTGAAAGCTACGCGACGTATAAATAGCATACGAATATTAATTTGTAACTAACAAATTAATATTCGTTTTCTTATTCTAGGGAACAAAATCACATAGCCCTTGTTACTTAATAACATAATTTTAAATAGTTTCATCTGTTTCTGATTATTTTTTTTTCAAATTAGGGTTTCGTGTCAGCGATACAGAACCAATAACGAATGCATTCTCTACACACGAAATTATGATGAGACGCAGAGTGGTATAATTGCTGAACTCAATCCGATTATTCCTTTAAGCTTAGAGCAAGTACCCACGCCCTGCTTTCCTTCCTCTTTTAAGCGTAACTAGAGGATGATCAAGCTTTGCTCGGTTTTTTTTGTTGTTGATAAACTATGTTTTTTTCTTCTCAGTCGTATGCACTCTTGGCAGAGTGGTCGTGGTCATCACTTGGGTTGGTGGTGCGCTTCACCAGACGTCGCCATTCCTCGCGTACCGCGGCCCTTCTTGTGCACTCGTTAACGGGACCGCTTAGAGCTGCCTTTATTTGGTCGGTCCATCGTAACGGTGATCTGCCGCGCGGTCTTGTACCCTCTATCATGCCCTGCACCACAAGGCGCTCTTGTTTAGAATGTTTTTTTAGAAATTATATTTAAATACGAATTACATATTGATATTATATTATATTATGTGTTATTTTCTTTCAATTAAAAAAAAATAGTTTATGTTTAAGTTGATTATCGATAGAGTTGATTATTGAAAACACGAATAAAATAACATTTGCTGAAAATTTAATTTTATCGCCCCCGAAATCCCTTGTATACTAAATTTTATGAAAATCGTTAGAGCCGTTTCCGAGATAAAGATTATTTAAATATTTATATACAATAATTGCTCGTTTAAAGATATAAGATTAAGGTGTACTTTTAGAATTCAATTCTGAATTGTTATCTTGTGTAATTACGGGTTTGAATAATGGGATTAAAGATTTGCCTTTTAACAGCCCCTGATAACAAACTGTAACTATACCAACTGAAACTATACTGAGACCTTAGAACTCATATCTCAAGATCTGTAGCGGCATTTACGTTGTAGACGTCTATGGGCTCCAGTAACCACTCTAAACCAGGTGGGCTGTGAACACTTCCTCCCATTTAAGCAATACAAAAAAAAACGTGTTACGTACCAATTGATTGTAGTTGGTCCACGAAAAATATGCTACCCATCCGAACCGTTAAATATTGTCAAAGATGGAGTGATATTAGGATCAGCAATTGCCATTAAATACATCGTCGAAATAGGGTTTAACTAAAAGCTGTTTCCGTCACGATATAGTGAGAATTTCTTAAACGATGTACCAAAATATAATTTATACGTAACATTCACAAGAAATATTTACTATTATATTATAAGTATCATCATAGTCTAGATTTCTAGAACAACATAACAATAATTTATTGATAAAGACAACAGTATACCTCAATTAAAAATTTATCGACACTAATATCTACATAGATAGGTAATTAAACAGCCTTCAGATAATAATGTCTTGTCTCTTTTAACCAATGTTAAATAATATTCACGAAAATGTTTGATAAGTCATTTTTACGGCCCAAATCTCTTATTTTTAATTTAAATCTATTAATTTCACCGATAAAATGAACTGTAACATAAATATTAAAAAAAAACGAGAACAAATTTCACAATACATTACATTAAAATAACAAACTATAATTTAGAACGAACGTGCCAAAACGGATAGTCTCACCAGTTACATTTCAAAACACAACATTTAATTAGTAGGTAACATGAGAAAGATTTTTCAGAAATGCGTAAATTTGCATAAAACTTCCTAAACTCGTTTGTCAAAAATCAATAAAAAAAACTCCATTCCCTTTGATGTCCATTCTATTTACCAATAACTTTAAAAGTAGGGCAAAGCAGTTTATAACGTAAAAGACATTACACCGGCTTTTAACGTCGAACCATTAGCGTGTACCCTAGTTTATATAAATAAATGTTAAACATAATTAAATATGTTAAAGTAAAAATTTCAGAATTCAAAAAATACATGACGTCATAACGCACCTGAGTTAAAAAGCGGGAAATTCATCAGTCAAGCATGTTTCGCGCCAAAATAATTTATCACAGAGTGCACGCGTCATTGTCACTGGCCACTCAGAAAAAAAAAACGATTAAGTCCGTTTCACACTGTCAGTTTTTAGTTTTATTCCGATTGTTTTCGCGCGGTTGTTGTGTGGTTTGTTTGAAGGCAGCGTGTAGGCGTGAGCCGTCTACCGCGGGAAATGTTGCGGGCCAGACTGCTGCCGAGCCGTTGCTACTGTCACATTATTATGTTAGATTTTTCACCGGATCATCATAACGTGTGGGACATTCTATTTTTAATTGTCCCTTCGCAATAAAACATGAGATTTCTTCGAACAATCACTTTAATGTATTAGCGTTTTTCAGATTTGTGATTTTTTTGTTCGCATTTTTATTGAATGAGAAATTCATTTTTGTTAGCAGCTGCGCAACGTGGGATACATGTTTATTTTCAGATTATTGTGAAATTTATGAAGTTAATATCAATATCAATAGTATGTAATAAGAAAAATATAAGATATCTATAATTTGGTCTTATATATTTCTCAGAAAATATATACCAATGGTAGGTTTTCTGATTTTTTTAATACATATGTATTCTCAAATGAGTTTTTTTATATTAATTATTTTATTTCGGAGAGCGTACGAGTATATTGAGTTGAAACATTGATATATTAACAAAAAAAATGTACAACTTTGAATAAATTTTAAGCATTCATATAATATGTTTAAGATAGATCTAGAATATAATAATCATTTTAAACACAATTAAATATAGTCTTAAGTTTTCTTCTGTTATATAAAACTTCGATCATTTTGCTAAGCCTATGTATGCCCTCAGAGGATGCCTTAAGGCCTTAAATTCTATCGCCGTCTCACAGTCTGTCAGTCGTGAGCACTCTTAAACAAACTTCATGGTACATACGATTTGATTTTCATAAATTGAATCTCGAACCTGGAAGCTCTCGCATCAGCAATTACATACGTAAAAGTTATCTAACCGACTCTAGTACACAATCTATACTAATTAATCTACAGTGGTTTTTACGGATGTTCCGCTATAACTACTGAACCATGCATCCGATTGACTTGAAACTTGGTATCCATGTAGAAAACACATGTACTTAATGGATAGGCTAATATTTATATGAGTGTTGGACTCCCTAATAGTAATGACAATAAATAATAATATCTATATATTAATACGTGAAGCAAAAACTTTGTATCCCTTTTTAAGAAAATTGCGCGGACGGAGGAGTATGAAATTTTCCACACTTATAGAGAATATAGAGAAGAAGTGCACAATGCTAATATATTTTTTAAATAATGCATAAAAGATACATTAAACCAATAAATAAAACATTACACACACTACGTACCATGTATTTGACGCACACACGCATGCATACTATTTATTGTCAAACTTTTGTTCTTGACGTCTGTTGTCAAATTGGGAATAGAATATTATTATGGTTTGTCTTTGTTAATATTTTTTATAGTGTAGTCTTGGCAAAATTAGTGATTATAGAAGTATAAAATACAATCATAATAGTGTACAAATTTATAATTCCAATTAATTATAGTCGAATTTAGACTACTGCGGGACCTCTAGTTAATTTTAAATGCCTAGCGAAGAGGGCGAGTACGACTAGTAAATGTATACATTTATGTTCCCAAAGCAGAGATACTAAAAAGAAATTGCATGTCGCATTAAACCTTTTTAAAAGCTATTAATATTCAAGAAGCGCTGACCATGCGGCCCGTATCGCAGGGGACACGCAGCTCTGTGTAGGTACAATTAACGTAATGTAACCTAATCATAATGCAAAACTAGATGTGAATATTTTGGAAGAAATGTATGTATACTTTTAAATTTTCTAATTTCTAAACAATACTATTTTACATACTTGTAGGTTTTTCTTCCTATTATTCAACGAGTTTAAAAAAGGAAGTTTTTCAATATGACTTTTTTTAAGGTGAACTTTTTTCTAAATGAATTGATTTTTTTACTTTATTGCATATGAAAACTTTTGTGATTTTTGAATAATGCATTTTTATTTAACTTCGACCACATTGGATAATATACAAATTTTTGTTGAAATCCATTTTGGTTTTTTTAAATATTCTGATATTATTAGAAAAAAAAGCAAAGGTATCGACCGTACTAAGGTGACATGACATTAGTGGCGTAATTAAAAAGGTTACAAAAATTGAAAAAGGTTTGGTTGAACGTTGAAATAATAAGAACGTATCACCAAAAATAATTGGAAAATCTTTGAAAGTCGACTTATCACAATTTGCCGTTAAAATTCAGAATGAAATAAATTTTATAAAAGCTTTGATGTAGAATTCGTTCGTATAATTTTTTTTATTCATTGCTTAGATGGGTGGACGAGCTCACGACCCACCTGGTGTTAAGTGGTTACTGGAGCCCATAGACATCTACAACCTAAATTCGCCACCCACTTTGAGATATAAGTTCTAAGATCTCAGTATAGTTACAACGACTGCTCCACCCTTCAAGCCGAAACGCATTACTGCTTCACGGCAGAAATAGGCGGGGTGGTGGTACCTACCCGTGCGGACTCACATAAAATTAAAATTAATGCTACAGCATAATCTGTTGTTTATTTAAAACATTTCGTAATTTTGAACATTTAATAAAGCTAAAAAAATCTGTATAAATACACATAAAACATATTAACTCACTAGCGTTAAACTATTCTTGTGTAATTTATTTTATGTCTACTTTATTTCCTTCTTCGCGTGGAGGCAGACTCAGTGGAATTCCTGTCGTTAAAAACGTATAAAGTTGCGTTTGAAGCAATAATTTAATAATGATGAATTAATTTCGTAATATCCTTTTTATCTTATTTTGCTAGGTTGAAAATGTATAACGTACCCGGTATTAGTATTATTTGCAATGACGTCAACTGTTTACAATCAGGTGACTTGCCTGTCTATTTTGAAAATTTACTTTCGTAATTTCGTGCCTTTATGGAAATAATAAGATTACAAAAAAATAAAAGCTTTGCGCAAGTGATTATTGCGATCTGATCCGTCTTTAGTTTTACACTTCGAAGAGAAAAAAATCTATTATCCGATCGGTGAGTGAATGCATACCTTAATATATTTTATTACTGGTTGCAAAAAAGGGAATATTCTTAAAAATAATACGTTAGGTTCACTGTTTGCAACATCGTATTTTTCCCGCCAATAATTTGTGACGGAAATCCTAATTGAAATTGCAATTCAGGCTGCCATTGTTTTGCAAAGATATAAAATAATTCATAAAATAATTTCATTGTTATACTGCGTTCGGTATTAGGCTTAGAAAAAATTTAAATAATCTATTCTATAAAAACTTCATACATTTGAAACAGTAATTCAAAATTTTTTATTGTTTAAATTAATCCAAAGAGTTTATTTGTGGCTCGTCATGGAATTAAACTATATATTATACATAATTTCAAAGATAATAGATTACATTGATGTGTGCACTTACACGAATATTTATAACAGTTAATATAAGTATTTTTATACTTTTAAAAACATACAGATCAAGATTATCCGCAGCAATAAATCAATCTCGCTAATTGAGATGCTGTATAAATATTTTAATGGTTTTTTTTGTACGGTTAGCCATAACTCCATCAAAGCAATGTTATCAGTTATTCTTAATATTTTAAATTGAAAGATACATTCGTTATATACCAAACGATGTTGTTTATAAATTATAATATTATTTATTGAAAATGTTAGCTACTCTACTATGTCGAGGAAGTGACGTCACGTGTAAAAGGGCATTCGATACCAGGACAACATAAGTCATGGGAAGTTCTATCGAACAAAAGTGAAACAAGATATGTCTTTATTGAAGGCATGCAAAAAGAGGCCTAGAAATAGAAGGCACAGGCTTGGTTTTCATCTGTTTGTGCAAACATCACACAAAGACAATTTTTCGCCGTACCTCAATCCAACTACAATGTCAGGCAAATTTCGTCTTTATTCAAAAAGTTTAAAATCGAATTTTCTTTAATCTATGTTTTACTTTCGACTTTATTCTTGTGCTACTCCAATTGCAGGCCCCCCAATAAACACTAGAGAGGATAAGAGATAGCTTGAATTCTCTTCCTTTTAGAGCGAAAGGAAAAGAAGATGTGCCCCTCATTTGATTAACGACCCCCAGACGACGACCCTGATTGTGGCAAGTAATTATAGAAAATCACTAAAGTTTTTTCTTAGCCTAATTATCGCATGCGAGTATTCTTGGATTGCTTCTACAATATTTATTGTGTTATTTTGATCGGTTCAAATCATTCCACTGAATACAACTAAAGCCATATTAAATTTATAAATTGTCATATGGAATTCTTATTTTTGGGAATATACGTTTTATTGTATAATAGATATCGACGCTTGAAAGGCAAACGAGACTAAGCGACAATGCGTGAACTTTACATAAGACTAATTACCGTAGACTAATCAAATTGAATTACCTGAAAACAAAATTTATTTTAACGAATCTAGCTGTAGTAGAATCTAGCTAGTAGCTGTAGGATTGAAATGATTTGAATAGACCTAGAAATATATATTTTTTGCGCATCGAATATGGTTATTGCCTTTCATTTATGTACAAAGCAGTTATTGTCGCTTAGTCACGTTTGCCTTTCAAGCGTCGATATTATTTTTGGTTATATATAACAAACAGAACTAAGAATCAAATCTGAGGTTTCCTGTTTTAATTATGTTTGAAGCTGACTGACGATGATATAGATTACATTTTTTTGTAAAGTTCACATATTTTGTAAATAAAGCCAGGTATATTTTTTTCCGATAGACTTATTACTTACACTAATAAAAACAAGATAACAAGGTATGTGTGAGCACAGGGGATCCGATGAAGCATAGTATCGCAATTTTCTTTACTCACACTATTTAAGCTTTATGTTCTAAATATGTCTTAAATATTGTATGTATAACAAAAGTTTTATCATTACATTAATATACTGGCGATATACGATACAAATTAGTCTGTGTTAATATTGTAAATACGATCTATTAAAACATACGTATAGGTTGAAATTTAAACGGTAAAATATTTTTTATCTTTTTTTTTTTGGGACGAAGTTCCTTATGGGACGATGCGGAGGGGTACCCTAACCGGGAAAAAACGTCCGTAACGTAAG